CGTGGATCAAACAAATGTACAGAAATAAAAAGATACTGCGCTTACGAAAAAAAACAGTTATTCTCATGAGAACTGTAAAGATGTGTGCAAAATATTAGGACTAGGTTTGTAGAATGCACACTATGATCCCTGCTGTAAATAGGTTGCTTAATCAAGAGTTTTAAGATTTCTTCATTAACACACGGATAGCACTGTATTAACAACCTCTTTGACTCCGAATATTCATGGTTTCGTCTTAAAGAATACTGAAATTCACATTCACATACCTTTTTTTAAATAAATTGTTACACACACTATAAGCATCGAACAAATAAAAAGCTATATAGAGAAAAAAACATTTATTGCGTAAGTGAAAGAGGGTAATTCGAGTAGCCCATTTTACTACATAAATTTGCAAAAATTCTTGTTCAGTTGATGATTCCCAAGACATTGAAATTAGATTTAAAGTAGATTAATGGATGCATAAAGATTAATATTGGGCATTTGTATGCACTGGGCCGTGAAGTATCTCCATATCGGCATTTGTGTGGTAAAGGTGATGATAATAATTATGTTAATACTCGTGATAATGATAATGAGGATGATGATGATGAAAGCATAATAAACATAGTAAACATCAACAATAATAGTAAAGATAGTAAAATTATAGTAATGATAATGATGTTAATAATGGTAGTAATGATAGTAATAATGATGATAAAAGCATCAATAACAAAAATCGCAACATTGATAAATCAACGAAGATCATTATAATAACAATGATAAAATAATGAAAATAATGGTGATAAAAGCAATAATGATAATGGTAATGATGATGGTAACAATGTTAATGATAATAATGGTACTACTACTACTACTACTACCACAACTACTACTACCACTTTTACTACTACTACTACAAATGATGAAAATGTCATTAATAACGTTGATGATGATAATGGTAATAGTAATAATAATAATAATAATAATAATAATCATAATGATAATATTGATAATAATGAAAATGATGATAATAATAATGATGATAATGGTGATGATAATTTCAATGATAATAATGATAAAAATAATAATGATAACAATGATTTCTACTGATAGTGCCGATGACAGTATTGTTAATAACATTATCCAATCTCACACACACACACACACACACACACACACACACACACACACATATATATATATATATATATATATATATATATATATATATATATATATATATATATATCATATGCATCTGTTCGAATTGATCTCTACAGTTGAACATGACCTTAGTTTTTTTTCCGACTTTCAGACATTCTCTATTTAGATCGTTTATTAATTGCTGCATGGCATTTGCTGATTCACTAAGGAGAACAATATTGTCTGCAAATCTTGGATTGTGTAGCTGTTCGTCTCCTATTTTAATACCCTTTCCGTTCCATTCTAGCTTCTTGAATAGTTCCTCAAGGCAAGCTGTAAACGGTTTTGGTGAGATGGTGTCGCCCTGCCTAAAAAGATATGTGGCCCGCCTTGGATTTATCGGTTTCCGTGTCTTGATGTTTGCTGTCCCATCTTCGTATATATCTTCCCATATTTTATAATATACCTCTACTCTCTGTCTTCGAATAGCTTTTAACGCTGCTATTTGTACAGATCAACATGCCTTTTCGTAATCGATGAATGCCATACACAGGGGTTTCATATATTCGTATATGATTTCTCTTGTTTGGGTGAGCGTGGAGATGTGGTCTGTAAGATTCAGACTGTCGGAGATGCGAGCTATGACGACTTTTGTGAATAGTGAGAATCCACTGCGGAAGGCTGCCTGTTCTCTAGGCTGGTTAGAATCCAGACTGTCGGAGATGCGAGCTGTGACGACTTTTGTGAATAGTTTGTAAGTAACTGAAAGGAGGCTTATGGGTCGATAGTTTTTTAGATCCTTTCTTTTCCCTTTCTTATTGATCAAAAATATTGTTGCACTTTTTCCAAGCTTTCGGGTTTTTTTCCGCTGTGAAGGCATTTGTTAAAAAGATTGGCTAGTTTCACTGTTGCAATTTCTCCTTCATCTAATAAAAGGTCTATACTGGTTTCGTCTTCACCTGGTGTTTTCCCTTTCTTTATGCCTTTAAGCGCTCTTTTTATTTCTTCTGTTGTGATGTTAGGTCTCTAGTTACCGCGTTTGCTTCCATCTGTGGCTGTTCATTTGAGTTTTATAGATCCCTATAAAAGTCTTCTACTCTTATGATTTCATTCTTTTGCTATGTCACTTCTCCGTCTGGTTTCTTTATTGCATATATTTGATTTCTCCCTATTCCAAGTCTCCTTTTAGCTATTTTTATGCTGGTATTATAAATTACTGTTTAATTTATTATTTGAGTACTGAATTTCCGTACATCGTCCCTCTTCTTTATGTTTATAGCCTTTGCTAGTTCAGATAATTCTGTTTTGTCCCTTTTTCACGATACTTTCAAGACCCAACGTTTTTGCATAAGCTGTTTCCTTTCTACCGAGAACT